GGTGAGCATGAATGATGGATAAGCTTTGGGGATTTTGGATTTGGAACACAACAAAACACTAACACTCAGGGATTTGAGAATAGTCAGACGCCTGCTAATATCGATGATTCGTTTTTAGATCGAATCAATGAATTGTTAAACGAATTCAATCAATGGCACCAGCCTGACCAAAAAGAACAATAACGTCGTCTATCATTTTATTTTTAGATCATATGTTACTAATTTTATGCTTTATTGTAGTCCATGTATGTTGATATACTTATTCCATGATAATTCTATGTTTATCCTTTTGTGTGATGTAAATTAAATGCTGAATGGCGGTTCATGTAGGGAAAGAACATATCAATATTCGCATATTCAATCAAAAACATGAAAATTCTTAATAAAGTACGCTCATTTCTTATTGAATTCTTAAAAAATAATATTTATAATAATTTTTAATAATTTTTTTGAAATTTTTTTAAGTTTTATTCTGACCGATTCACCCGATTTTCGATCCGAATCGTCAATCCGGATCGATTTTTTGGGTGCCCGATCCGGGTCACCGATACGTTTTTTAAACCATTGACTCTAACTAATTATAACTAGTTGGGCAAAAACTCGAAACACGTGAACATTAGACCAAACTAGCCGAGATGAATTAGCCCTAGAATCCTACCATCCCATGGAGATAACCATGAAAACTTTAATTCGCAATTAAGTGGCGTACTTCTCTTTCCCGTCAACTTAGTCCTACAATCCTATCGTCCCATGGTGAAAACTTTGAAAACTTTTGCTATGAATTGGCGTACTTCTCTTTCCCATGAACGTTGTCAAGATAGGATCAGCTACCTAATTTATGGAACAATCAAAACCAATGTTATTCCTAGTTCAATTTGTTTATCAGATTTTTTTAAGGAAAATAGTTTGATAGGGATGCAGCCTCACCTCATATCTCATCATAAGTTGTAGTTCAACATTGGAAAATGTTTATATAGATCATCTTGGCTTGAACTTTATGATCCTTATCAAACATTATGATTTCAAGCTTTAAAAATAATGTATATGATAACAAATTATTTATACGATTCATTTCACCTTAAAAATAAATGTGTTTATAGATTTTGTAATAAGTATACATTTTTTTACTTTCAAATTTTATTGTTAGTATTGAAAATTGATTTTAGAACCAGAGTACGAGATTTCCGTTGCCAAAAATAATTTCCATTGCCAAAAGTAATTTCTGGACAAGGATTTGAGTTGAAGCTTTATATTGTTTTCATAAAGCATAAGCTTTATATAAACTCCATCCAATATTAAAAAAAAAGAAATGATCCTATAAGATCCTCTTCTACCTATACGTATAGAACCCCTAATAATCACCATTAAATTCGACACAAATCTTTAAAAAAATTAACTTCAAACCCATGTGAACTTTTTTTCAAAGATCCGTGCCAAAATTAATGGTAACTCTTTGAGATCCTACACACATAAATAAAAAAGGATCCTAAAAAATCATTATTAGTATTAAAATAATATTAATAAAAATTTAAAAGACTTACATTTTTTTTTTAAAAAAAAATATCTTACTTTGTTTGACTCATTAAAACCGATGAACACTAACTTTGATCGATTTGCAAAAACAAGTTTTTATATCTTTGTTAAAATAAATTTTTACTCTAAAACAAACCAGCCAAACCAAGACATCAATAATCCACCAAGCCAATTTAGCAGATCAAACTTATATAACTCAAACCGACCATCAAACTTGTAACTCACACTGTTCCGAAAGAAGTCCATTATTAGAAAAACAACTTGCCTGCAACCCAAGTACCCTATACCTAAGGCGCCAAAACACACCCTAGAAACATGAAATGACTAGGTTAATTTTATCACACAAATTTAATGTCCACACAATGATGGTCCAACCCTAATTCATTTAATGAAAAAGAGTCGCGCGTTTTTGGACATCTTCAAAACATGTAACGAAAAAAATTCCAAAAAGAGTTTCATAGAATAATTAATTCATCTAATATATCGGAAAACGCGTACCGCATAATACCGACAAATCTTAAGAAACATTATACAAAGAGTATGTCAACTAAGAACCACAAAACGTGAAATTCACTTCGATACAGACATATCATGAGATATAAAATATATTAATAGGGTAATGGGGAATAATAAGGCATTGGTGGGTCATGTTAGCAGGAGACGTTCCATGTTTCTTTTATTTGTTTCTTCTTCTATATTATTATCTGTCATGCTTGAGCAGCCTCCATTAAATTCTTCTCACTTGACTCTGACGCCCTCGCGTAAGGCCCCAAAGTTACCATCCTGTAAAAATGCATCCAACAACAAATTTTACCAGTACGTCTTAATAACTCAAAAAATTTAAACCATATCAACCTCCTCATCCAAATTAGGTGGGTTTCCACTTTTGGCCAAAAAAGTAAAAAAAAAAATTTCCAGATCTTCATGAATTGTTTAAATAAAATGGATCTCAATTTTAGTCTCACAGTTTTTTAAATCACGATCGGACTGATCCGTCATCCAAACAGCCGCATCCAAACAGCCGTATCGATTGTTGGTTTGAGCGATCCAGATCAAGTTAGGATAGATCTGAATCGGTGATCCAAAAATATTAAATAAATAAATAAAATAAAATAAAACTAGGCATTTATATGATAGAAATTTAGAAGAAATACAAGCTAAGCTAGAAAAAAAAAAAGAAAGATAAAATATATCCTTTTTTTAATCTGGGGAGGGGGGTTGGGGGGTTTGCGTCAAGGAGGAACCAGGCTGGCTTGTAAACGGTTTGGTCCCAACCCTTTCCCGTCCAGTTCAGCAATCTCGATACGATATCTCCATATTTTAAAACACTGCTTCTGCCATTATCATTTAGCTTTTCTCTATTTATTTTCTTAATGGAATGCTCCTAACTTGTGCTTGTAATTGTTTATTCTTCTCGTCATATATTTTGGGTATTTTTTGTTTTTATTTGCTTCCCAACGGGTATTATCATCTTCTTCTTCCCAACTATTTACGGTCCCCCAGCACAAATTACGGTCACTTATTTTGCTCCATTAAGATGGGTATCATCATAAATCAAAATCCAATTCAGGTTTTCAAAAAACGGAATCCACATGTTTCTCTTTTGAGAACAAACCCAGAAAATTCCATGAAAACTTGGAAAAAAAAAAAAAAATTTAAAGAGAAACTTAGCATCGCTTAACAAAAAGCTTGTACTCCATGGAAAAATATGGTAAGAACACATTTTGGCTATCTTTTACAGATAATAAGAACGGAAATCCACCTAAACTTGGGATAAAACCAATGTTTTAAAACGGGTATAGGTTCCGGAACATGGTGGTTTCTCTTAACCAATTGAGCTACATTCCTTTCTCAAACCTATTTAACTCATTATTTTTTGGGTACGTCTTAAACTCATTATTTTATTCACATGTAAGCTCTTATAAGAGAATTGACGAGAAATAGCATAAAACAGAAAAAAAAAAAAAGAAAATATCATGGCTACCGAAGTCCGAAAAATCACAACCGGCCAAAAGATATTACCTCTCCTTGCGCTTCTCCAGAAACCTCTGCAACGACTTCTTTCTCGCAATAGGTAAATCTGCACAACAACACAAACACGAACTTCGGTGTAAGAGAGAGAGAATCACAGTTTCCATTTATCGAAAAAGAAAAATACACAAAAAGGAACGAGAAGCCGCTAGAGAGAAAGTAGAAACACAGTTTCCATTATCGAGACACAAAAAAACAAACAAGAAGCCGTTGCCATTTATGGAGAAATAAAAGAAACAAAAACAAAGAGAGCGGAGAATAAATGGGTTAAAAACAAGCTTCATCCTTGCAGGGTCCAGTTCAGGAAAAAATGGAGAACAAAGGAAATGAATAGAAGGTATAAAAAAAAAGAGAGCTTCGATTTCAGATAGAAGCTCATTAAAAATTAAAAAACTAAAACAAAATGCGGAGAGAGAGAGAGAGAGCGAGAGAGAGAGAGAGAGAGAGATTTTTACCTCCGCCAAGGTTCTCCAGGAGCTGTTGTTCATCAGTGCGACTCACAGGGAAGACGGACCGCCCAGATTGCATAGAAAATGCCACGTGTCCGAATCCCGTGGGGTTACCGTTCTCTGCAAGCTTCATAATCTTCTCCGCCTGAAAAACAAATACATACGTATTTTTAGCAGGAAAAAAAATAAATAAATAAATCTTAAAAAACTAAAAAAAAAAACCCATAGTTCATTATTCAGTAATGCGACCCGTAGTACCACATATTGGTGAAAGCTTGGTTTTACAAAAAAAAAAAATCAGCAGCAACATACCAAAAGAGGGGAGAAAATGGGCAATTTCCATAATTACACATACCCAATAAACATTTAAACCGAATAACATATTTCCCATATTCAAACAATGGAGAAACGAAGAAAGGGACTCACTTTATCAGACGGCAGATCGAAAACTGTAACAGTTCCATTGTAGAAAATCGTCAATGGGGCCGCTCCAGAGGAGTTCTCCAGAGAAGACCTGGTCAATATACCAAAACACTTGCCATTAAGTCCTCAACCAAAATAAGCAAACTACAAAATATAGATCAAAGAATAACATCCAGAAAATGCATAAAAACATGTACTTCGTTTGTTTAGGTAAAAAAGATCGTTAGAATACCTTGAGGTGGGTTGGAACACAGGCAAGCCAGACTGAGCAGGAAAATGATCATTTTCCTGCGCGATTTTGAGGCTATTTTGGCGAGAAAAGCTCTCATTCCTCTGAGATATAACCGACTTCAACATCTGGGGGTTTATCTTTGATATAGTGTTTTGAATACCTACAGCACAAAAAATTGGGTCTCAGAAAAGGGAATAAAAGATCCAAAAATAAGATTCTCAAAGCATATCCATTAGGGACCTGTAAAAGAAACTTGAAATCTAGGAGACGATGAATTATTACTAACCTCGAACAATTCTTTGGCGTTCAATGGGGTTCACCTGGCCGGAATTTGCCGTATTTAGGTTTTCCGGCCCCGATTTAGGGGCACTTTCCATTTCCATCTTAAAGAAGTCCAATTCCACCGCACCTTTCGACATTGCTCCCTTAGTTTCTGAAGACTCTAGATCCTAATTTCTCTGTACCAAAGAGGATAGAAAAGCCCCAACTCCTTATGGGAAGCCCCTCCTGGTATTCGCATAAATCTGCAGAGATGCCTCCCTCTACCATAACCTTATCAACAACCAAAGAGCCAAAACCTTCGAACTTTAAGCACGCAAAAAACCCAATTCCGTAATCGAAATGCAGAAACAAAAGCAGCTTTCTCGATTAAGACTTCAAATACGAAAACCCAAGATCTCGAACTCTTATTTTCAGAGAGAACGAAAGGTCCGAAAGAAATCTCCTATTCAAGGAGAGCCAAAGTTCACAAAGTTCCAGAGTGAATAAGAAACCCTAACCCTAAGTCCCGGTATTTAAGAAACAAAGAGGAGAAAGAGCAAAGCAATACGAAAATGAAAACGGAAACGAGGTTTTTAAAAGGAGAAATAAAGGACAGTGTCTCTGATTCGCACGTCTTCCGCGCCCTCAACAGCTGTACAAAAAGCAAGGATCACGCAGGAGGGAAGGCCATGAGCCCAGCCCTTTGAATTCCAATCAAAAGCACGTGCGCCAAAACACGCGAAGACCACTACTTCGAATTGCGCACGCGCAAAAGTCGCTAAGGCACGTGCCAACTCGTAGTTTTTGTCACGTGCTCTTATTGTAGATGGCCGGGAACGTGTCTTTCTTTGACGACGACGCACCGCCGTGCCTGTCGGCCAAGCAACCGAAGCACGTGCTCTTATTGTAGATGACGGAAGTTAGTGAGGCGTTAGGGCTACGTGTCGATCTGGAATTGAACCAGGCAGAGGAGTGAGCGTTTCGTGTCTTAGGTGCATCGGCTATGAACCTAACGCGAACCCTGATCGACACGTGTAAGATTCGACGGCGATGATATCTTTTGGGATTTGGGAGAATCAAGCAGGCTGGTCTCTACGTGTAGGTGTTGTGTGGCTATTTTGGGAATATAATAATTGGGAAAGGAGGAGTTTGTTCAATGAGGAGTTTTGGTCCTCGTGGGTTTGAGAGAAATGACTAGAATGTCCTCGAACTTTTAATTAATATCCAGGGAAAAGTAGTTGAAGCTTAAAACGGTTGTGATTCTTTGAGGCGGGGAAGTGATTGTAGAAACCGGAAAGAATGCATTGCGAAAATAGTGACGAGTCCCTATCGAAAAGGAAAAGTTCAATTATTTCATACACCCAAAGGAGTACACTGTTAATTTATTCCCTCTTGTAAAATCTCACCTAGGAGTATTTTTCCGGACCCCAAATTTGAAGATATAACATTCTCAACACATATGCTAAATATAATAGAAAAAAATCTTTGATTGTTATTCTCTATAGGCTTAATAAAATAATGCTTGTAGATTGAATAGAAACCTTTCAAATTTAAAAGGGATTGTATGCTATAAGGCTACTTATTTTTAGTCACAATCCCTGTTTGGCCGGTAGTCATTGGATAAATTATATTTTGGATTTTGTATCAAAGCAATGACACATCATTAACCATCCAATTTCAAATCTAACAGTCGATGATAATTGTAGAAGGTCACAATCGCTCTAGTGTATCACAACATTCGATAAATTTTATTTTGAGTTTTGTGTCTAAACAATGACACATCATTAACCACCCAATTTCAAATTTAACGGTCAATGATAATTGTAGAGGGAGGTCACCATCACTCTAGTGTGTTACATCATTCGATAAATTTTATTTTGGGCTTGGTGCCCAAGCAATGACACATCATCAACCACCCAATTTCAAATCCAACGGTCAATGATAATTGTGACGTTCTTGTATGATAAGTAAATGGTATCATTGTATGCATTTCCAATTTTAAAATAGTAAGATGTAAGTATTAAAAACTCCAAGTACACAAAAAAAAATTGAACCTAATCCTCTAATGATATCCATATAATTCCTGAAATTTAAGATAAAAAAATCTTTCCTAGTAAATTACCTATCCAAAGGAGTAAATCTACAATATACTAACGTGAGAGTATAATATATGCGCGGAGGTTAACAAAAGAACGGCGGTTCGAAATATGTTTTGAGTGGACTGAGTCATCCAAATGTCGTTGGAAAAACCAAGATGACACATTAAACATTATTAATGATACGAGAAAGTGAGGTAAAGAGATATGAGGGTACGGCAGAGAGAGAGAGAGAGAGGGAGGAGGATTTGGGCCTTTAACCTTTACAGGAGAAGGAAATAATTCAACTAGAGCTTAGGCTTAACGAGTTAAATCAAAATGGCACTCAAAACCACATTGAAAAATGTAAATTTGGTGTTGAAAACTCTCAAGCTATCATCAAACTGAAAGAAAAAGAAAACTTATATTTTAGTGTACTTATAGAATTACATATTTTAGTGTACTTATAAAATTACAATATGCGTGTTTATCTCATCCGTCACCCACTGGTTTTTAAGCCTAACTAAGCCAAGTCCATACTGAACTAATTTAAAAAAGGGTTTTGTTAGGTTACACCATTTATAATGTAGATCTTTAAAGTGTTTAACATTTTTAAACATTTAAATACCATTATCTTATATTATAGTAACTTTTTGTTTAGCGATATTTTAAATAATTAATCAAGCTAAACTAAAAATTTTTAATAGAAATAAAAGCATTTAATAATAATAGTGGACAATAATATCATCACACCCATAAGATGCATTAATTGTTTTTAATTACTAATAAAACGTCACTATTTTTTTATAATATCTATTTTATTTTTTTACATTACCAAAAATACCTTTATTTGAAAAATTTTATATTACAATTCAACGGTATTTTAGTATCTAAAAATATTGAGCACTTTAACTGTCTACATCACCCAATGGTGTTACCTAACAAAAAAAACCCTTTAAAAAATAAAAATGCTTTCAAAGTGGTAAATGTTGAAATAAAATTCACAAACGTTAAATCACTCCAAAATCAATAGATTTATGGTAAAAAAAAAATTTCAAAGTATGTTTTGGCCTATCTAGTTTAGCCTTGAGTTCGGGGTAGAATCGTCCGCCTACTTGCCAGTTTTGATTTGATTCGTGCGGTTATGAGTGGAAGGGCTGATTTTTTAAACATCGGTGCACATAAATGCTAGAGAGATCAATGCTATGTTTTGAACCTCTGATGTTATAACGAGGGAAATAAGATTTATAAATGACCATAAGAGCATTAGAAGTGCATCTTTCAATTAGGCTAGTTTATCATTTAATAACTAAAAAATCTTTAGGAAATTATTTCCAGAGTCAAAAAGTCCCCAGGTTTATTTTTTATTTTTAATTTCACCCAGGTACTTTTTCAAAAAAAATATTTTTAGGAAAACATATTTTGATTTTGCTATGGGTTAAGAACTATGAACCAACAAGGGTATTTTAATAATTTGACTTAAGCTAAACAAGTGGAGGTACTTTTTCCTGTTTAGGTGAGGCTTATTATGTGAGTCAAATTATTAAATAACTTTTGTTTGTTAAAGATTCGAACCCCTGTTAGACACGGAAGGTTTAAGCATTTTTAAGAATATTATTTGATTAAGTACATTAGTGAAAAAATAAAGTTTTTTAAAAAGTAAAAATCAAAATGTCAAAATGGAGATCTGATGAAGGATTTGATAAGGGGATATTTGGTTTTCTGTCGTGGAAGGGAAAGTTTATTCCGAGTTGTTATTTTCAACACGGCTGTGCAACCGCAGTTAATCTCGGATGCAGTTCTCAAGAATACAGTTTTAGAGAGAGAAATACAGTTTTAGAGAGAGAAATCTTAGATGCAGTTCTCAAGAATTTGGGAGAAAGTGACAGGTCTTGCGCTTAGTGGAAAAACCGAAATACTCAGTCTTCCGTTAATAAATATCTGAGAGAGAAAGAGGGGTGATTTTGAAATTACTACTTTCATACACTGGTACTTTGGACATTTATGCAAATAGTGTTATAAATATGAGAGAGAGATGGTAATTTCGAAAGTACTGCTATTTCATGCATAGTACTTTGGATATTTTTGCGACTAGTACCACGTTTCCTCGGTTGTATCGACGCTTCCTCTGTTATGCTGTAAATTCGTTCTTGCATAAATGCGGTGCAAGGTCATTGGGGTGGAAAGGGGTAGGGACCTTAAACGTACTTGGGTCCAAAATTTGGACCCATTTTCAGATGTGCGAGTCCTTGAGTCTACCCGATCTTTTTATTTTTATTTTTTATTTTTTTGTAACCATCATATATGGTGAAGTTTTATTTTTTTGTGTTAATAATACCATAAATATTGCCAATATTGTGAATTTATGAACACCTAGTGTGAATATGAAGACACATGATTGTCATTATATATCTTATGACCACAGGCAGGGGTCGGGTTCTGTTGGACCTGGACCAAGATCTAAACAGTATTTGGGTCTAAAATTTTGATCCATACCCTGGGCAGAAGTCGGGTCTACCCATCAGATATAGTCGAGTCGATTGCCACCCCTGCCTTGTGGGTACTCTCGATATTGTTAAATAAAGCAACATTGCAAACAATTGAAAGTAGAATTAGGCATATTTTAGTAAGTGCTAGGAAAGCCAAGGTGCAAAATAGTAAATTCGTCATTTTGGGACTAGTCTGTAGTTAATTAATTTCTCATTCATTATTTACCCATTACTGGAGAGTTAGCTTTTGGGTAAATTAGACATTTAAATCAAAGAATAGGTCTGGTCATGGTTGTTTCCTTTTCTCAAGCATGCCAATAAACTCCTGATTCAATTTGTCAAGCCTTCTTTGTTTTTCTTGTGGTTATTTTTCAAGCCTTCGTTTACAAGTCAAGATGTGCGACTTCAAATAAAAAAGGAGTTTAATTTGACTTCTTCATTTGGGAAACGTTGCGAGAACGAATAAGACGTTGCTTCCGTTACGTCTACTTAATTCCAAAAAAAATGATCCCCAATTTCAGTTAACCCACATGGTTTGGATTTATTAATGGATCCTTTTTCTTGAATCCGAACAGTGTTCCTATCTCACCAAATTCCACATGCAATTTCGCCAGATCTCTCTCTCAAAACTCAAAAGATTAGGCTGCAAAATAGGTTGGATCCCGGCCCGGGTTTCAGTCCAACTTTTTGACCCTATGGGTCATGAACTTGATTATTTATTGTCGACTCGAAATCATATATTATCTACTGTGTATTATACATAATTGAAAGATATAAAATTAAATTTTAGTGTAAAATATATTTTAGATGTATATTTTTATAAC